CTGGCGAGCTTTGCCAGAAGCAAAGTGATTTATGGGAGTGAACACACGAAGAGAACTCTTTGAGGCTTTGGGATTTATAGCCACGTCAGGTTTGCCAGACAGAGTTTGGATTTATTGATGAGGACTGAAAATACTTCCGCAGTCCTCTTGTGAGAGTTTGCTTTTTGGTTTGTGATATTTTGGAACCGCTTGTTTCGTTTTGCCCTCCTGCATTTAAAGGGGAGACATAACACCTGAGTATCCAAGGGATCCTCCCTCCTCAGTCAGCCTGACTGATTGGATGTCAACTCTGAAAGCAACTTGGGAGAATGTCAAAAAAGCACTGGCAAAAGTGGCACAGACCTATAAGAGACAGGGAGACAAACACCGAGCCCCACAACGACCATTCCAGTTGGGGGAGAAGGTCTATCTCTCCACCAAATATCTGAGGTTAAGACTCCCTTGCAAGAAATTGGGGCCAAAGTTCATGGGACCATTCCCCATAGTAAAGATCATCAACCCAGTCATGGTGCAATTGAAGTTGCCCCAATTGTTAGGGAAAATACACCCGGTATTCCATAGTAGCCTATTAAAACCTGTGGTCGGATTAGTGCTGAGGCCCCTACCTCATGAGCCCCCAGTTCTCATGGTCATAGGAGGCCAAACCCATTATGAGGTGCAGCAAATCCTTGATTCGAGGTGGCACAGGAGACAACTCCAATATTTAATCAAGTGGAAGGGCTACCCCTTATCAGAGGCATCATGGGTAAAAAGTAGGAACGTCCAAGCCGATCTCCTTGTAGTAAGGTTCCATGCAGAAAATCCAACCAAGCCTGGGTGTCAGGCTTTGCGAAACGCCTCGCTCGACAGAATCTGAAGCTTAGGGGAGTGAGGGAGATGGAGTGGAGGAAGCAAACAACCCTGTTGGATAACGTTCTAATGATTGATAATCTAAGTTGAGGAGGGGAACTCAGGAACTTATTTACATGTCCATGATCGGCTATGAAGAATTGTCAACAAACAACACCAGGGAATTAAATCCACAAAGAGAGGGAGTAGGGATGATGGCATTTATCAGCATGTAACATTAAACTGGATGAAGGATTAAGGAGGGTGACTGCAGGAACGGGAGGCATGCAGGGTAGCTGGGAATCGTGGGTAGTTAGGATGCAATGTAGGCTGTCACATTATAAGGTTAATAGGGTAATTGGGAAGTAAGTGCAGGGTGGAGATAGACTGCAATTAGGTGGGTGGGGTAAAGGGTTAAATTACAATTAAAGAAAATTGATTTCAGTGCTAACCTTGTTCAGTTTATCTGTGCTTGCCGGTTACTGTGCTAGGATCAATAAAAAAGAATTACAAACTGCTCAGTTTGTAACTTATTCCCTACGCTCTACAGAATCACGGCTAAGACTGGAGGGGTTTCATGAGCATAACCTTCCATATCTGCAATCAAATTGATTTTGTGTGTGTTGTACAGGTCACCTTCAAGAAGTGAGGGGAGCCGAATGTCAACTCATAAAACATTTTGTATACATGTTTTATAGTTGACAACATTAAGAAGGGGGGGGAGTGAAACACGGTGTGAAATCAAAAGTACATTCCATTCATATTTTCTTCTGATTAGATGGCTGAAGATTCTGCCACAAAAGAAATCTAATTGGAGAGCATGATTGATGACTCTTGGCTATGGACGTTTTTTCGTTGGATGATACACCCAGAGGGGTGGGGTGGGGTGGGAAAGCAGGATCAAGGGTGACAGTGAATTACGTATCTCAGAGTTGGCTACACCCAGATTAGTGCCGGATGTAGAATGTTACCTTCAACTAAATCCTCTTTAATTTTGGGAGTGTGGCTCAAGGCTCATGATTTAATTGGAGTAACTGCTGGAACCCTGACACACTAGTTACTAGGCTGCAATTATTGAACTGTGTTAAGGAAGTGACGGACATGAGAGAGCGGCTGGAGTAACAGAGGCAGCAAGCGTCCATTGAAGAGAATAGATATTACTCAGCAACTTGTCAGTAAGATAAGAGAACTGAGCTGATGGAAACCTCCTGTGAGGAGTGCAATATCTGTTGAACTATTGGATTACTGACTTTTCCTTCTATTTGTCTTTTGTTCACCTTCCCTTCCCTCTTTGACTATGAGTTTTAAATAATTATCGAAATAAGTATTTACAGTTATATAAATTTGCTAATAGAGTGATTTTTAGAAAAATATTTTATAGAAATTAAGAGTAGATTATTTTAGTAAATTGGATTAAGGACTTAAACCCTAAAAATTTATATAGTGCTTAAATTAATTGTAATTAATTTACCTCTATTCAATTAACTGTAGCTATATTAAGGGTCTATATTTGTATTGATATACTTATATTTAGATTTTTACATATACTGATTTATATTTAAGTATTTAAATTATTTTTTTACAGTTTATATATCGATTTATCTATTTATATACCTGTATATTTATACATTCATATATTTATATAGTAGTACATATTTATATATCTCGATAAGTTGAACATTTAAAATTATCAATAGAGGGGATAAGTGTTGATGATTATGGTAGATTTGGGATAAATGTAATTATTTGAATAAGTACTTTAATTCTTTAACAAAAAAACGAAAAAAGGAGAGAGGTTTTAAATAGGAAAGCTAAGAATTTTAAGAGCTATAATCTCTAGTACTATAACTATACCAGCAACTAGTGTTTAGAGAGAATACCCTTGTTTAATGCTGATTTGGGACAATGTTTATAGTATCTTAAGAAAACAGACAGAAAACTGAACAACTGAAAAACAACAACTGAAAAACAGAACCCTGCCTCAAACAGCAATATACAAACTACATTACTTACCTTACAGGAATTGATGTTGAAGCTCCAAGAAACAATGATAAAGAACCATACAAAAATGAGAGCTGATATAAATGAAATTAAAAAAGAAATGGGAAATTTAAAAACTGAAATGAAGTCAGATATATCCAAATTAGATGAGAAAGTAGGTTCAATCCAACAGGCCTTAGAAAAAAATGAACGTACAATAAAGGAAGTTGAGAAAAGAACGGAACAAACGAAGAAGAGACTGGAACTAGTGGATCAAAAAATGAAAACAATAGGTAAAGAAATGGAAGACTTCCTGGTCCATTTAGAGATGGACCGAGCAGCGTCGTATCTCAGATTCCAAAACGTCGTAGAATCTAAAGACAAAGATCTGGAATTGGTGATGGCAGAAATTCTGGCAGAAGCGTTAGAAAGAGACAAAAATGAAATGTTGAATGAAATGGATGACGTCTATAGGGTAAGTACGATCTACGCTAGATGTCATAAACTGCCGAAAGAAGTCCACATAAGATTCACAAGAAGAAAGGACCAGGACATCATATACAAGATAACCAGAGACGAACTGGTCACTTATAAAGGAAAAGAGATCCAGATACTAAAACAGATCCCAAGAAGGTTGAGGGAGCAGAGACGGGATTATAGATTCTTGGCTGCACAACTAAATAAGAGAGATATTCTTTTCCGATGGCTGATCCCAGACGGCGTGTTAGTCACATGGGAAGAGAAAAGAATTAAAATCGATACCCTAGAGAAAGCGCAAGATCTTTATGACCAATTAGTAGGTCCTGACTACCAAAGCAGCAAGGAAGAACTGGAATCAAACACCCAAGAGGAGCAGGAGCAACAAGGGAATAAAGAGGAAGATCAAAGAGCAGAAAAAAGAGATCACCAACAACAAGAACGGGAAGACTTAAAAAGAACAAGTAGGACACAAAGAGAGATAAGGGCGAGTAGACGAGAAAGAGCTAGGTACAATTAAGAGAATGGGAGAAGAAGTGAAACTACTATCCATCAATATTAATGGTTTAAATTCAGCAATAAAGAGAAAAAGGATATTTGCAAAATTAATTAAACAAAAAGTAGATATAATATGTTTACAGGAAACCCATGTTCAAAAAGCAGATGAAAAATATCTAGAGTGTCCCAAATTAGGGAAATTATATACTGCACCAGCAGACTTTAAAAAAAAAAGAAGGGAATAGCTGTTTATATTAAAGAAGATATAAAAACGAACTTAATCTTTGTAGACCCAAATGGAAGAATTTTGATGATGTAAGTGTGGATAGCCCTTAAACCGGTATTATTAGTGGTAATTTATGCACCTAATGATAATCAACAAAAATTTTACAAAATGCTACATGAAAAAATTATTGAATAGGAACAGATAAATATTTGTATTATAGGAGATTATAATGCTATAACAGACTATCAAAAAGATTATAGTGGTGAAAAGAAAAAAGGGAAAAAAAGAAGAGAGCTACCAAAGGCATGTCTTGAAATGATCACAGAGTTAAATTTGACAGTTGTTTCAAGGAAATTAAATCCAGAAAAACAACAACTTACCTTTTATTCTAATCCACATCAATCATGGTCACATATTGATATGGCTTGGATGGGTGCAGAAATAGGAAGAGATGTGTAAAATATAGAGATACTACCAAATTTTTGGGCTGACCACAATCCACTCAAAATAAGTTGGAAAGGTAGGGGAAAAACAAGGAGAAGATTATTAAAAGATATGGAATTTGTTAGGAAACTTAAAGAAGAATTAACCCTTTTCTTTAAGGAAAACAATAAACAACATACATCTATGCAAAACTTATGGGATACTATGAAGGCAGTCATCCGAGGGACCATAATATCTTATGCAGCAAAAAAGAATAAGAAAAGATGTGCTCAACAAAACAATCTGCAGGAAACAATTAAAAAAATATAGACTGAACTACAAAGTACAACACAAAATATTAAAGTAAAAGAACAATTGTCTTTGAATAAACATAAACTTAATCTAATGGAACAAGAAGAAATGGTCAAAAATCTAAAAGCAGCTAAACAAACATTTTTGAACAGGCAAATAAACCAGGAAGATGGCTCTCCTACAGACTTAAGAGAAAGAAAAAAGAACAATTTATCAATTACAGGATGAAAACGGAGAATATCAACATACAATAGAAAGAAAGAAAGAAAGAAAGAAAGAGATTGTACACCAATATTTTGAAAATTTGTATAAAAGGGAGGAGGTAGATGAAGATTAGATAAGAGATTACCTGAGAGAGGAAAGGGGTCTAATAATAGCAGAAGAGCTGAAGGGAAATCCAATTAGAGATATAACTATAGTAGAATTGGAACAGGTATTTAGGAACCAGAAAAATAACAAAACATCCAGATCTGATGGTCTCCCAGGAGAATTTTATAAAATAATGGAAGAACAAGTAGGACCACTGATGGTAGATCTATATAATAAAGTTCTGATAGAAGCCAAGATGCCAGATTCGTGGAGGGACGCACTTATTTCACTGGTTGTGGGAGGAGCTGCTGGCTGCTTGTGAAGGAAGCAGAGGGTGAGTAGAAAGGAGAGAGGCAGTTTGAATTGCTTTCATTGCATTTCAAATTCCCAGAGGTTGTGGGAGGAGCTGCTGGCTGCTTGTGAAGGAAGCAGAGGGTGAGTAGAAAGGAGAGGGGCAGTTTGAATTGCTTCCATTGCATTTCAAATTCCCAGAGGTTGTGGAAGGAGCTGCTAGTTGCTTGTGAAGGAAGCAGAGGGTGAGTAGAAAGGAGAGAGGCAGTTTGAATTGCTTCCATTGCATTTCAAATTCCCAGAGGTTGTGGGAGGAGCTGCTGGCTGCTTGTGAAGAGGCAGAGGGTGAATACAAAGGAGAAAGATAGCGGCCATATAATCATATAACTATAAACCAAGAATACCAACAATACATTTAGGGTAAATGCGCTTGAGATTGTGATTTTATTTTATTTCAAAATGACCGGCTTAGTTCAGTGTAATACTTGTTTTACAGCTGTCTTTTGCAGTACTCTTTTCAAACTTGGATTCTGTCCTCTTTGTAAAAATATTACCAGTCTACATGGACAGATTACCTATCTAGAATCTCTAATCTGTGCTCTCCAAACAGAAATTAGGTGCCCAATCCAGTCATCTATTGAGCTGCCATGCTACCAGCCCCCACTACCACAAAGACCCTACAGGAAAAGGGCAGTATGGACAACCGTGGGATCTGTCAAGGTGAGAGCTGTGGACCATAAACGCAAAGCTTTTGCTGTGTCCCAGCATAACAGATACAGTGCCCTTACTGACCTTAATAGGGACACTAAAGTGACAGGTCAAGGTAGTTGTGATAATGATAACTCAAGTAAGCCGGGGATCATGGTCCTAGAAGAACTTACTTTGGAAAGGAGAAAGTGTGAAACAGGTATTACGCACCAGTCACACAAAAAGAGCAAGGCATCCAAAAAGAGAAGCCACCTTCTGGTTGGGGACTCAATTGTAAGGGATGTAAATTTAGGAAAGGATACAGAGGTTTTGAAAGAGGCCAGGTGTCTACCAGGTGCTACTGCCAGCAGAGACAAGAAGCGTATTCTTAAGAGAGTCAAGAATGCCAGCAAGGACTGTGATGTTGACGCTATTATACACCTTGGTACAAATGATCTGTCCCAGAAGGATGTACTTTCTG